GATGAGAGGTCTACAGATGATCATCAGTTATTGTGGATCTGTTCTTGGATTTGATGATTTTCATGTGAGAGAAAGCAAACTCACACAGGTAGATAAATCCAAAAAGTTCTGTCAAGTTCAAAGCACCTCTTCTGATGTTAGGATACGTTTCCTCTGACAGCAGACTGCAGAACTCTCCATCCATGCGACTTGTTGCTCAGGATTTGATCCCAATGTCATTTTGCAGTCAAAACCTCATTTTCAACACCAGAGCTGTCCACCAGAAACACGGACACGAATTTGGACACAATGTCAACCATCCTGGACAAGGTCTTTATAGCTGACTCAATCTCACTTTTATTTTTAAAATCACGGAAAAACATGTCTGCAGCATCAAACACTTCTTTCATAACTTGGTCATTGCTGAAAGACMTTTTTTGTGTTGAGGCAGGATGGGCTACATTAACCTTASCTCTGGTGTGAAAATCGATGCTGTGCGGTTTTAGGAGGAAATCCGCGTTTGTGCATTGTTTTGAAATGCTGTTCCACGTTATCCTTTTTGGACAAGGCAGCGCTCRAATTACATATGAGTCCTCTTCCCACTCCAGGTGAAAATAATAAGTTTTTGTTTGCTTTTTAGCTTGTTTGTCGTTCATTATTTTCCGCCTCAAGATCATGTTTTAAACACGTGACCCTAAAGTCTCGCAAGATCATGTTCGGAGCGCTGTCTCACAGTACCCAAAACTCGTGAGACTACCTTCCTCTGAGCTTCATTCTAAGTCCGGCAGAAGCGGTGGAGGTGGGAGGCGGGAGGAGTTTACATTCCTGAATGCGCTCCCTCCGCTCTCCTCCTCCCACCTCCACCGCTTCTGCTGGAGTTAGAATGAAGCTCAGTGAGCTCCCGACAGGAGCGCAACCTTGCTCTAACAGCTGACAACAGCTCTCGTCAGCTGTTGGAACAAGTTGCGCTTCGCGGGCACCTGGGAAGTCGCCCGCGAGCGACTGATTGGGCACCCCTACTTTAAATCCTTCTTTTTCACATTTAAATCATTCAGTTTGGGTTGTATATAAAGTGTAACTGCAATTTTTTGGTCTGAATTCCTCCTTATTTTAACTTCACCAGCCCCTCTTTCACCACTTTTCTGAGATCTGTTTGCAAGCAGCTCGTTTTGATGCTGTTCCTTTAAGGTGCTTCAAGCTCCTCCCCCTCCAGCTTTTAGACCGGTCCATTCTGGTTTGAGAGAGGAGCTTAGGATTTTTCTAGCGTTGCAGTTTTATTTACAATTTAATTAAAAGATATCAACAACAGAAAACTTGTCCATCCAGCTTTACATGTCGGAGTCTGAGTCTGATCCAGAGTCTGAGTCTGATCCAGAGTCTAATCCAGAGTCTGAGTCTGATCCAGAGTCTGATCCAGAGTCTGAGTCTGATCCAGAGTCTGATCCAGAGTCTGAGTCTGATCCAGAGTCTGAGTCTGATCCAGAGTCTGAGTCTGATCCAGAGTCTGTGGAGAATTAAGATGAGGAAATAGTAGTTGGTAAGTCCAGACCTTACAGTATATGGCAGTTCTGTCGCAAAAAATTGGTCGGAATTGCTCAGAAAACATCATAGAAAATAAAGAAAACTAAACGGGCTGAAAAATGTGACCCAAACAGAATATAAAGGTATCTTTGCAGCACCAGGAGAGACTAAATTCAACTTTTCACCCTCCTAAAGACTCCAGTTACACAACAAAATGYATTTAACAGCTAAAGTGGATTTTGTATGATATGCCCCCTTTAAGAAGTGAGCCAGCTGTCAGACAGCTTCCTGTCAGATTATGTGTTCTGCAGTCGGGTGGTGCTCCTTTTTAAACTTGACAGTTCTGTAACAGTTTACTGCTGCTTGTATTTCAGGTGTTTTTCCTGCCTCTGAGCAACACCATCCTGAGCTGCTTCAGYGATGACTCCATCTTTGCGTGGGAAAGTGACACACTCTTCTACAAGTACCAGCTCCCTGTTTCTGACTGTGGACGCAGAATCTCCTACAAGGCATTTGCTGTCACACGGTGGGCCTCCCACTTCATGTTGGAACACCTTACAGTAAATGTCCTGGGCTGGGGAGCCTCTAACCTGTGTGATGTGTTGGCAGTGATGGTAAAAACCTTGCAGCCGGGGGACGCTCCAACCTGTTGCACCTGTGGTGTTTGGACAGCCAGCAGCTGGTTAGAGTCATTCATATSCCTTCTCAGGTTCGAACCATCAGGCAGCTGGAGTTTCTGCCTGACATCTTCGATGGAGTAGCCCGTCAGGTACAGWCAGAGGAGGACAGGAAAATTGAGCTTTTCTTCATTGTTTTTTGCTGACTAAAGTTCTCTCTGAGGGACATTTCAACATATAAATAAACTGCATATTCACAGTAAATTCACAATAACACTTGAGTGTCATTTTTAAATGAGTGAGCTTCACTCGTAATTAATTTCTCTACAAGTAGAACCTAGTTTTATATAAAATACTGTCTTTTTTTGCCTTTTTTTGTTTTAGCTGAAACTGAAGTTGGTCTAACCTAAAGCTATCATTAATCTCAGATAGATCTACTGTTACCCTGCCAGAGGGGGTCTTTATACTATTAATTGCTCTTTCACTTTGTATTTTCTTAATTCTCCACACCAATAGTTTCCCAGCTCTCTCTCCTTGGTCATAATWARAWTGTTTTAACCACATTAAACTTTTTGCTGCTGCCTCATAWGATAATTTATTATATTCATTCCTCAAACGTAACAATTCACTCTGCTTTATKTGGTYGTCGTCGGCATTTAAGTCTAATTCCAAAAATTTKATTTGTTTATCCAAAATTTCCATTTRTTTCTTTTGTTGTTTGTTTTTTGCACTTGTATAGCTAAGAATTTCACCTCGGATWTAWGCTTTGAATCMTTCCCATCTCACTGAGGYGCAAGTCTGATCYGTATTTAATTCAAAATAAGTATCTATCTTCTCCCCTATCARTTTGACAAAGTTTTGATCCTGTAGCCATTTTGCTTGAAACCGCCAACGGGGTGGATTATGCACAACATTTTCAATGTAAATATTCAGTGAGATAGCTGCATGATCACTGATCACTATACTGTCATACTGACATTGTTTGACCCTTGATAAAAGTTCTCTTGAAACAAGAGAATAATCTATACGTGAGCGGGATTTATGCATACTCGAGTGACAAGAGAATTCTATTTTATCAGGATTTTGTTCTCTCCACACTTCCACCAAGTTGATATCCAATATATATTGATTTATTAATTTTCTAGTTTGAGTTTTATAAATATCTGAGCCAATTGATCGGTCAATATTTGGTTTTAAAGTGCAATTAAAATCTCCTCCAATTACATAAAAACCTTCCTGATGTTATCGAACTCCGCTCGCTGTCGGATGGTTTCTGCTGAAAGATCCTGAACGAAAAAAGTTTATTCCCATCGCATTCAATGTTGCGTTGTTTTGTAGAGCGGAAAACAAATTCCCGATCTTGGAAATTCAGGAAACGGATGAGGACGGCTCTGTGCTGGTTCGGTTTTGGAGGTGCTAGGGTGCGGTGGGCCCTCTCAATGATGAAGGATATATCGGTCTCCAGCCAGCGCGGCAGCATCTCCCGTATAAACTCCAGCAAAGGCCGCTGACCCTCAGCGCTCTCCCGGAGCCCAAAAAGGCGCAGGTTTTTCCTTCGGCCTCGGTTCTCCAGGTCGTCGGTCTTAGTTTCCAAGTAGGATATTCGCTTCAGGGCTTTGGCAAGATTAGCCATACTAGTTTCTAAGAGTTCCTCCCCCGACACGATTCTGTTTTCAGCTTCCTCCAGTCTAGTAGCATTAGCAGCCACATTTTGCTTCACCTCTGCTATGTTTTTCTCCAAAGAGGCGATGGACTTCGTCATTTCACCCATACRGTTATCTATGCTGTCCARTTTGTTTCCAAATCCACYGAACTCTGAATGAAACGACTGAAGTTCAGCAAGCACCGTGCTAAGGTCACACATGCTATCARTGYTAGCRGCCCCCTCTTTGTCTTGATCTGCTACCGAAGTATCAGTTTTAGCTTGTTTTTGGGAACCGCGTTTTCGTGTGAAAATATCACAGTCCTTAAGAGTGGTCGATTTTGACATTTACGGGTCAGATTACGTTTGTAATCCTGGGTTTTTCGAAGTTTTGGTGCAGGTCACACGGAGCATCCACTTTAAGCTGCCATCGTAGTTCGCGGCTCCACAGTGCCCTCCCCCCCCAGCACCATTTACTATAAATACTACTAAATGAATTTTTAAAGTCTTTATTAGATTGTTTAATTGAAGTTAGATCATGGATGGACTCAAACCTTCATTTGAATGTCAGTAGAACCAAAGTCATTTTATTTGGACAGAAGAATTCCAGAAGTAACCTTGATGCAACTCTTGGTTCCCAAACTCTATTTCAACAGACAGCTGTTAGAAAGCTCAGGGCACAGATACAGGACATTGTGCAGCAGGATGGCTTATTTTGGGAAAAGCCTGATGCCTGCAGTTATAGGCTGTGACTCAGTTCATGGGCTGCATCCTCATGAGTGCATATTTGTGGTCCGTGTACATACCTGCACCAAATGCTGTCCCAATTCCTAGGGTCAACCTGATGCGGCTGACAAATGTAGCCCACAGAAAAAAAATCAAAGCTGCATCTGAGTATTCTTCCTGGCTGAGSATATCCCAGGATTCAATGTCCAGTCAGCAAACTAAACGGAGAAACGAAGAAGGGGGGAGTTTTTTATTTTTTACCATGTCGGCATAGTTGGGAAATTCATCATAGACTGAAGAATTAGTTTTTAAATGTTAGTTTAGCAACTTGTTAAATAAGATGCAACTACAAGTTCTGATACTGGAGCTAAACCCAAACCATTAATGTTTTCTTTAATTTATTTACGTGTAATGTTTTAATTGTGAAGTTATTCCTTACACATCCCAACGCATTTTAGGTCTGAAGTGATATAAAACCGATCACTATGGTAATGGAATAGCATGTGGTCACGCAAACATACAGCCAGCGAAGGCTAGACTGTGTTATTTCACAGCAGTTTTATGCAGCCTACTCGTCTTGCATGGGCTGTGTCCTATGTGGGCCGCAGTCTAGGTAGGCTGCAGCCCCTGATTTGAGACACGGTTATAGCCACCCTAAACAATTGGCCCCTCTGAGGATATTCTGTGTTGAACCTTGTGTGATGGTGTTATGTCATGTTATGTCTCAGGCTGTATGTTATTGTTCATGTAGCTGCTGGTTGTTATTGTCTACTTGGTGATGGGAGTGCAGGGGCTGGTTTGTAGAAAAGAATTTCCTCTTGGGGACAATAAAATCTAAAGTCTTTCTTATTGTACAAGTTAAAACTGGGCTGAAAACCAGTTTTTTTTTGGTCTGGAAAGGTACAGAATTTAAGAACTGAAAATGTGCAGGAACCCTGAGTCTGTTATCAACATAGTGGTTTGTATGACACATAGGAATCTATTATTACCTGAAACTGCACAAAGTTGTCTGCAGTGATTGAAAACACCCTGTGAGTTAGTTAATGGGTTTTTTTTTTCTGCCTCCTCAGACATTGGGTGTGTTGAGCCAGGACGGCGTGATGCGTTTCATCAACGTGGACACGTGTAAACTTCTCTTCCACATGGGTTCTGCCGATGACGCCATCACAACAGTGGCTGTCAGCCCGAATGGCCGACACATCGTRGCGATCATGGATAACGGGAGCATTAAAATCTACAGTGTTAAGAGTCTCATACAGGTGGGAGTGTCTTCATACATAAAGGTCACTAGAGTTTGGTCCTAAAAGGCTCCTCCTTTCTTGTGAGTTCAAGTTGAGTGTTTGTGGGTTTCACTCTTCTCCTCTCTGCAGCCTCCTCCCCCTCAGGTGGCTGTAATCTCTGGAGGTGATGGGGAATTCTCACACATCAAGATGAATGTTAGACCAGAGGCAGTTCAGAGACCAGCCATGAGCTCAGGAAGACAAACAAGTGTAAAGATGCTAAGACCACATGCAAGGTCTTCTGTTGAAGATGAAGAGGTAAAAAAATACATGAACAGGACTTTGCATTTTTCATTTAAACAACTTTTTAAAATTGTTCATTATGTTTTAAAGAGGCAATATTATGTGTTTCTCAGGCATACATTTAAATAGTATGCCATAATAAAGTATCTATGTCACCCTTAGCTGTTATTAAAATGCTGTTTTTATGTTTAAATAGAAAATAAACTTATCTTCTCATCACTTCCTCTTCTAAACGCCTTGAAATTGGCCTCTGTCTCTTTAAGAACCACCTTCTGCTTCTGTCCCGTCCATTTTGGGGGGGAGGCTACTATGATGCAGTTTACTTGGCATGTAAAAATACATTTTCTCAAAGGTATTTTTAATCTGAAAAGAGCTTCACTGAGTGATAACTAATGAGAGCTCAACAGACAGTTTAAGTTTCACTTTCAACCGAGAGCCTGCAGGAGTCATTGGCGGGGTGTGTGGGGAGGGGGGAGGGGGTGCGTTCTGCCATGAGGAAGCTCGGCTTAAAGACACGTCCCAGGGGCGTTTCTGATCCCAAAAGACGTTTCTGGTCCCCACCTGTCGTTTTGCTCCTCAGCATGGCTTCCTAAAAACACTACAGGATTTCTCAAACATGCATGAATGAGTCAGAGCAAGGCTTTGGGCATGTTTTTTTTTTTTTTTTTTGAGAGTATAACATTATAACATGATATAAAACTCAAAAAAGTTGATTTTACATGATATTGCCCCTTTAAATACAGAAAACACCACAGTTCAAGTATGTACGTTGAAATTCTTACATTTTAATGTTTCTTACTTTAAAAACTAGAACGAATTACCCGCTGGTCTGAATAAGAAGAGATTGGTGGCTCTGCTTAAAACGTTTGGAGAATATCCTGCTAAATACAGGTAAAAATCTCTTTTTGAAACAAGGGAGAGTAAGTAAGAAGTGTCTGTGTTSCGTCAGTGTTTACAGAAATGTTTTCTGCATCCTCGTTGCAGGGTGTTTGTGTGGCGGTCTTTGCTCTGTCTCCCAGAGAACCACGCAGCTTACAGCAGTCTGACTGACAAAGGCCTTCATCCAGCTGTCTTCACTCTGCACAAAAAGTACCCCATCAAAAGTCACAAACTGCACAGAGGACTGCAGAGGTACTTCTTTCTCGTTTACAYAAAGTGTTGAGAGAGTTAAAACTCTTTAAAATATCTTCAGACTCTGCTTCCAAATAGCCAATCTCGCTTGTAATCCTTAAAGAGATTTTAATTAACAATTCTAAAGGTCTCTAAAGCTTCAAGTTTTTCTTTGGWCTTTGGCTGCTTTTTATTTTTTTTACTCATGTTCTGTCCAATCCTTGAACCTGACCCTGACAGCATTTTGTGAAGTGCGTTCCTAAGAGCACAACATTCACCATCAATGACAACAATGAAATACGCTAAATTTTACACMGAAATATTTAGAAATATTATTTTTAGTTTAATTTACTTCAGCAAAGCCTGAAGTTAAACACTGGTCCATTTTATATTTTGAATGATTGTCCATCTTGAATTCAAGAAATCTTTGGTTGAAGAAGCTAATATTAAAATGCAAAAACAGYTTTCGATGGTGTGGAGGACAGCTGCACAAGTATTCAGCTTGCTTGACTAATAAATGCTTATGTACAGTCGTATCTTTCGTATTATACCACTTAGGCCTTCCTGTTGAGCTATTGGGGCTATTGGCCTGCCTACTCTGCGGCAGGAACTAAAAAAAGTCACAGTGAAAGTACCAGCTCACTCCCCTTACCCTATTGAAATCCATTATAAATGTATTTTTAAATCCACATTTGTCAAATCATAAAATAATGCATMCCTATCTACAATATCTTCTTTTTTAGCTTTATCTCTCTACATTTGATTTTTATATTATCTCAGTCAGTAATGCTTCGTTTTTACGTTTGAGGGATGCTGTAAAAATCACAGATGGGGTCTGCAACGTACCCTGGAAGACGTGTTTGTTAAATTTGCGATTTTTATATCAGTCTGAAATAGTTCAAAATTATCGACGAGTTTATTGTGGAAAAATAATACATTTAAGCAGTTATATAAGGTGGTTGATTTCCTCCCTAAGGAACACTTAGATTAGAGGAGGGTTGAAGGGAATTTTATGACTAATAAATTTAAGACCCAGTCTTGTATTTTTAGCCATCTGGTTTAAACGGAGGAAGAGAGTCAGTTTGTCTTATCAATATAAGGTTGTTCTGTCTGTAATATAAACAAAGTTGGGTTACATTCTAATGTCTGATGTAAAAGGTACCACCTCCAGGAGTGTGACCAGGAAGTCAGATGTACACATTATTTTAGGAGGATGGTTCATCATTACCGGTACTCATTATCAGTGTCTGTCTCAGCCTGGGACAGACACTGGGCTCCTGAGAGGGGTTGTTATTGTTTTGGTTCTGATAATACTCTGGGTCTTTCACTCACAGAGCTGCTGCTGTGCCTGTGCACCGTAGGGAGTCTGATTTTGAATAAAGCTTTTAAGAACGGATCAAATGGTTTTCTGCCAACTTATTCCGACTTCTAATTTATTGAACGGGATTTTTCTACAAGGTTTAATCAAAAACACATTCCACTGTCTGAAAAGGCAAACTGAGTTAAAAAAAAATGAGATATAATAAAAGAAATTAAAATAATAAAACCAACTTTGAAAAAGCTGAAAAACAAGAGCACAATAAATTATTACCAGAAAATCTGTCGTCTTCAAGGCAAATTACAAAGAAATGACGGGTGGCTTAAGACTTTTACACAGTATGCAGCTTTTAATTACAGACTTGTTTTCTTTTATCTGCTGACATTGTGTGATTTTTGTATCCCTGCAGGGTTTTGTCTGCTTTAGCTCACTGGGCAACCGTCTTAGGACAGATGGAGTACCTCCCTCTGATGGCTTTTCCTTTTGTTAAGCTTTTCCAGAACAATCCCTTGCTTTGCTTCGAGGTGGTGGCCACGGTCTTAGGTACTTCACCACAGTGCAACTTTACTCTGTTCATGTGAAGAAATTAGAAAGTTTTACAACCTGTCTGTTAAAGCTGCTTTGAGGTAGCAATGATTGAAAGTTTCAGCCTCTAAAATAACTTCCACCACAGTCACCAGTATGAAATCCAAATAGCCTTTTGGCTGTTTGTTCATTCAAAGCCTAAGCCGTGTAACACACAAAGGTTTTGTACAGTTTATACTCTTAAAACTTCCACTGATGTTTAAATCTGTGTTTTTATTGCTCAGTTGACGTGTGTTTGAGTCAGATGTTTGTTTGTGCAGTGAATTGGTGCCAACATTGGTTYGAGTATTTCCCCAACCCTCCTCTGAACATGTTGAGTGTAGCAGAGAATGTTCTGGCTCATCATGACAAGGAGCTGCTGCAGCATCTGGTGGACTGCGGTGTCACTTCACAGGTAACCTCCCCCTGGAGAAACTCACAGTTTCCACTAAATGATAGATTACATGTGAACGTCCTTGTTTTGTGTCTTTGTTTGTCCCAGCTCTATGTGTGGCCCCTGCTGGAGACACTGTTCTCCGAGGTTCTAACACGTGATGAATGGCTCAGACTGTTTGACAACATCTTCTCTAATCATCCATCGTTCTTGCTCATGGCCTGCGTGGCTTACATCATCTGCTGCCGGGAGCCTCTGCTGCTCTGTGGCCAGAAAAAAGACTTTGAGGTACACTTCCTCCTGTTTTTTTTTTTTTTCATGAAATAAACATTTGTTTTGTCAACGGTTGTCACAAGTTTGTCTCATCTTCAGTACTTTTTTCACCATCGAAACAACCTGGACGTTGGAGCCCTGATAAAGAAGATTTATCTGCTCATGAGCAGCACACCAGCTGACATCCATCCCAGGACAATGCTCTCAGACTTTACGCCACTCACCAGCGGCCAGTACCCTGTGTTTAACCAGTACCCAGGATTCATAGTGGAGTACCAAAGCAGGGAGAGGGAGAGAATACGACTGCAGGAAATGGAGTATTTGCATGAAAGGTGAGAGGTTTGTTAGGGTTGGGCGGCATTGATCATTTTCGTACAACCTAATGTAACCTGTAGAAAATACTGCGGTACAGTTTTCCCACAATGGGGTGGGGGGAGTCTGGTGTGTTGAGTAATTAATAATTAATGGAGAAATGGCTGTTTGTGAGTGTAGCATAGGGTGAGCCTGTTTCTGCACTCTGCCACACTTTAAGTTGGGGCACCAGTCAGTTTAACTGTGGAATAATTCACACTTTGAGAAATCACTCTTGTATACTAACATGTGAGATCATTAGATTTAACAATGAACTCTTCCCAAATCAATGAGTACTCAAGAAGGAAATCAAATTTGTCTTTATGGTAATTTAAGAAAAAAAAAGAAAAATCAAGTTYCATGAATAATGGATAAAAATAGAAGAAAAAAAGATAAAATAATAAAGGCTTTGGAAATAGTTTAAAAGGGTGTGTTTGAAGTACTTAGATTATCAGATGTAAATCTAAGGTAAATAAAAATAAATGTGATCTTGTTTTGTTTATATGCACTGAGTTTAAGCAAAGTTAACCATTTTAAAACTGTTTACTGTTGAATTTGGGATGAGAGAGGAATGTTAAGATGATAGATTCATTTTAGTTTTTATTTACTCCTTTATCACTTCAAGCCAGTAAATAATTTTATCAATGTGTTGCATCAGCTACAACCAGACTTGACCTGACGTTCTCGTCCACAGAAGGAGAGGGCCTCATTCAGACCAGATGGACATATAAGCAGCCTTACCCCATTGTTGAGCTCCAGGACTGGTACTGGGCAGCTTGGCCGATTCTGGCTCCCCAGATTCTGAGATCTACAGCCGTCTGAGGTCACTCWCARCCGCAAGGCTGCTGAAGAACTGATSAAGAGTTGAGGTCCAGTTTGTCAAACAGACCTCCAGTGTGCTTAAATCCTTCAACCCAAATATTTATTGCAGTTGAACAAAGTTTTCTTCTCAGTTTAAACTTATGAGTTTTGTGTTGTTTCTCAGATACAGACCAACCTAAAAACGAACAGTAGAGACAGACGAACAGGACCCAAGTGACAGAAGTGAACTCTCCTTTAGAACAGCTTCTGTGTTTACATCACTAGATTGTCTGAGCCTCTTTCTCAAGGCTGTTTAACCTAACTGTGAATGTATCTCTGCCCAACAGCTTTCAAAACTTGAAATTTGAATGACATCTGGATTAACTGTTCAGTTTATATTGATGTCAGTCATATGTGACAACACTGAAATAAAGAAAATTTGTTTTTTTCTTTAAATTTGAAGAATTTCTAGTCTTTATATTCATGATTCAGTGTTAAAGAACAATAGATCTTACTGAAAAGACATTATTTCAAGAGTAATCTTGAAAATAACTTTTAAAGGGGACAAACAGTGTTTCACAAAAGGGAGTACACCCCTCACATTCCTGCAGATATTTAAATATATCTTTTAATGGGACAACACTGACAAAATGACACTTTGACATGATGAAAAGTAGTCTGTGTGCAGCTTAAATAACTAAATTTATTCTTCCCTCAAAATAAACTCATACAGCCAGTAATGTCTAAAGCACCTGCAACAAAAGTGAGTACAGCCCTTCGTGAAAGTTCCTGAAGTGTCAGTATTTTGTGTGGCCACCACTATTTACCAGAACTACCTTAAGTCTCCTGGGCATGGAGTTCACCAGAGCTTCACAGGTTGTCACTGGAATGCTTCTCCACTCCTCCATGATGCCATCATGGAACTGGCAGATATTTGAGACTTTGCGCTCCTCCACCTTCCGCTTAAGGATGCCCCAAAGATGTTCAATTGGGTTTAGGTCTGGAGACATGCGTGGCCAGTCCATCACCTTTACCCTCAGCCTCTTCAGTAAAGCGGTGGTCGTCTTAGAGGTGTGTTTGGGGTCATTATCATGCTGGAACACTGCCCTGCGACCCAGTTTCTGGAGGGAGGGGAGCATGCTTTGCTTCAGTGTTTCACAGTACATATTGGAGTTCATGTGTCCCTCAGTGAAATGTAACTCCCCAGACCATGGCAATCCCACCACCACGCTTGACTGTGGGCATCACACACTTATCTGTCACATGACATTTCGGAGGGAAAATGACAAGCAGTGTGTTCAATTTGGACATTTAAGGCTGTRCTCACTTTTGTTGCTGGTGGTTTAGACATTAATGGCTGTATATTGAGTTATTTTGAGGGAAGAATAAATTTAGTTATTTAAGCTGCACACAGACTACTTTCATTGTGTCAAAGTGTCATTTTGTCAGTGTTGTGCCATGAAAAGATATACTTAAATATCTGCAGGAATGTTGTAATGTCATGGCTGCTTCTGGAACAGGCTCATAAATATTTGATGATGGAACCGATGATGGTAGCAGAACGAATTCTGAAGTGTACAGAAACATTTTGTCTGCCAACGTGTGGAGAAATTCATCCAAACTAATCAGAAGGAATTTTATTATGCAGCAGGACAACGACCCAAAGCACACTGCCAACAAAACAAGACTTCATCAGGGGAACAAAGTGGAAGGTTTTAGATCGGCCAAGTCAATCAGCTGACCAGAACAAATGGAGAAACCCCATKTTTTAGTTGTGAAATTCAACTCAATTCATCTACAGGCCAGCGGTCACTCTTTCAGGGATGAAGATGTTCTCATCCTTGATAGAGGAACATTGGTTTGAGAGAGGAGTAAAGGAAGCCATCTTTGTGAAGAAAGACCGTCCATCATTAAACAGAGGTGGAGGCCTTCGTGTCCAGTTGTCCTCCTCCTACAACGCAAGTATGACTCAGCCCCGTGAGCAAAAGATGTGAATCAGAGCCCCAACAATAGTCAGATGATGGGGCACATGACCCTCTATGAACAATAGAGC